CCCCGCCCGGGCCCCCCGCCAGCTGCTCGATGGGCTCCCCCAGGTGCTGCCCGACGCAGCCTAGCACCCGGTTGGGCAGGACGTTCACCGCCCTGGGGACGTGGGTGGCCCCAGTCAAGACCCTCGCAGGGAGGCAGAGCCCTGCCCCACCACCCTGCCCGCCCTCCCTCCCTCCATCCCTTCCCTCGCTCCTAGCCAAGGCGGATCATGTCCCACACCCTCCCCGTCCCGTCCTGTCCCGTGCCCCTGACCTGATGACTCCATCCAGGGACCCCACGCAAACGATGCTGTCTGTGATGGGGACCATGCAGTCAACAGACTCAGCCCTCAGAGCAAAGCGGTCGCTGGCGGCCCCAAAGCCGTCCCAGTTGAAGAGGTAGATGGTGCCTTCGCTGGAGCCGCATGCCACTTTCTTCCCCCTCTGGGCAAGACAGAGGGCAGTAAGTCAGATGCAGAACAAGAAACATGGAGAGGGATCCAGGATCCTGCTCCGAGGCAGGGCCAACCTTCAGCAGCACGACAGACGTCAGGTCCCCGTTCTGCGGCTCTGAGACCAGGTCAAAGCGTCGCCTCTTCACGTTGAAGACGCCCAAGGTGCCATCACCGCTGCAGAAGATGGAAGGGGCATGCAGTGAGCATGGGACACAGCACAGGGTGCTTCCCCAAGCTCCCTGTGTGGGCACGGGGGACCCTGACCCTGGCGTCATGGAGCCCCCGCTACCTGGCGGTCAGCAGGATCTTCCCGTTACCGTCCACGGCCATCGCGCTGATGTACTCCTCCTGCTGACGGGCCTCCAAGATGGCGTCCCCCTTGCGCAGGTCCCATACCTTCAGTCCCCCATCGTCGTCGCCCGTGGCAAAGACGTGGTTATCGATGGGCAGCACGCAGTTGAGAGCCGAGCTGCAGAGACCCCCGCCCCATGCCGGCATGGTCACAGCTTACATCGGGGACAATGCTCCGGCTGCATAACTGCTTGGGACGAGCCGCTTGTGCAAACCTACCCGTGGGCCTTGGGGAATCGTGTTTCCAGCCGTCCCTCCTCCACCGTCAAGATGTGGATGGACTTGTCCTTGGACACGGTGAAGAGCTCTGGAGAGCCGCCTCAGCACCCCCAGCCCCAACATCCCCCAGTGCCACCCCAAGGCCCCCCGCACTCACTCTGCCCATCCTGGGAGAAGGCCACGTCCCGACACGACTTGAGGTGATGTCCCGACGACCAGACCTGCCGGTTTTCCCCCTCGCTG